AAAAAAAAAAAAAAAAAACTTGAAAAAAAAATATATATATACAGCTGCATCCTACTCTACGCTTAAAGCTTTCTGCGGCACAGTGGAGTGGAGAGAGCCCTTTCACATGTGTTTAAATGACCCAAAACCAACTATGTGAATTTTGTAGTGAGAAAGGGAAGTAATTGAAATAAAGAGGGTGATTCCACTCTTTATTCCACTCCTTGCGTATACACCCCAGAATGAGAGATGGGAAAGGAGAATCTTCTATTCCCCCTGATGGTCTTTCTTTTCCCCTTGGACTCCTCAAAGTATGGATAGTACTCGAATAGATTTTCAAAGGGTGTGTTGGGGGCGTTTAATTATCCTTGAATTTCTTCTTTGTACTTTGACTTTAGAATGTGCCTTCGTATCTTTGAAAGATCTGGGAGGTATCCCAAATAGAAGGATGCTAAGCTGTGGTGAGAGAGGGGTTCATGCAAAACCTCTGCAGAAGGCAAAGGGGTATGTGGGGGTCCTGCAGACAGGCATTGACCCTGGGTAGCCTCAGGGACAAGGTAGACCAGTTGACCCTGCAGCCACTGATTCAAGTTCAGAACAGCTTTGGTCTCAATGTATCGGACTGGCCAACACTCACCAAAAACCGGGGCCCATCAATGTGATGCTTCTTTACGGTCTTTTCACAGTCCTTGTAGTTCAGCTGCGAAGAGGAAGGGAAGGTGCTGTCAGTGTGTGGGGCGGGGGGAAGGGGGGGGCTCGTGCCATTGGTTTCCCTCCCTTGCTGGCCCCAGAAGCTCAGCAATTTGTGGTACCTGTGGCTAGACAGACTCCCCGCTCCCGTCCCTGTCTCATGGTGGGGCCTGTCCCCACGTCAGCGCTGCTTTCACTAACCCCTCGGGACTCTGTGAAATGGAGAAATTGCCTTGGTCCCAGGCTTTGGGGCCAACCCCTACAGCAACAGCGTGCCTTCAAGGTGGCAGAGGGCTGATGTGCTCCTCAGGGAGGTAGAGAAGAGCCGAAAGCAGAAAATAAGTAGCACCCGTTGTCGCCGCCCAAAGACAACCTCAGTGAGCGTGGCGGTGTGTTTCGTGTTTCTGTCAATGCTTGCTCCTTAGCATATGTATAAACAGAACTGAGGTTATAATTCATGTATGCAATCTTGTTATCCTGACTTTGTCTCTCAAAATTACTTTAAAATAGCAATACAAGCAGCCATCTCATGTTACTGCAAACTTATTTCAAACATTAGTTTAATTACTCCCTCATCACTGAATATTTCGGTTGTTTGCCAGACTGCTGCTCCAATAATGATGATAGCAGCCGCTAATAATTACCGAATGCTTGCTCTACGGCAGGCACTGTTCTAAACATTTAAACCAATCTTGAGTCATTTAACCCTGACATTTTTTTTCAAATGCCAAGTCAAAGGTGCAGAGAGTCAAGTAACTTGCATGAGGTTCCGTGGGTAGGAGGTGACAGAGATGACAACCGGGCTGCAGAACAAAGCTTTAATGCCCCTGTCAAGAAATGTTCCCTTAGGTTAATAACATTATAACTTACATAGAGTTAGTAAAGCGAACAAGTCTAAGGGCAGCTTATACACCATCCAGGTCAAAATATAGGACATTGTGGACATTCTTTTGCATCCAGTTTTCTTTCCTTGAACTTACGATAAATTGATCTCAGGCTAGAATTATAGGATTAACAGGAATGATGACTTTTAGGGTTCAGTTGCTTTCCTAAACAGTCACATTAATCAACATTCCTATCAGGTACCTGTTTCACCTTGTGCTCAACAGCATAAGCATTTTCATTGGAAATATCTCTAAATTTGATATTTTGGGCTGGAGTATTTAAGGTTAAATGTTTGCCCTTTAGAATCCTAGGTTTTCCTCACAAGTGCGAGTCTCACAGCTTGTGACAGCTTTCTTGGGGTGCAAATTTAAAATCATGGTGTTCTCTTATGGCCAACAAGGCTAAAAAGTGAATATGATTGTTGTAACCTCTTGGCTTGATAGGGTAGGATGACTATTAGAAAGCTCACAAAAAGCTGACCTAGAGGCCAGTGTGAAAAGCAAGCAATATCTAAGGAGCCCTGAGCCTGCGTGCTGTGGGCTGCAAGTGGTTCTTGGAATAGCCAACTGCCTTTAATTCATCAAGCCCACTGTCACCATTATCAGATGTATCTCTGATTTTGCAGAGTGCCAACTTCAACTCTAGATAGACAGACAGCCCTGCAGACTGGAGCTTGCCTGGAAGTTTCATTGTGATCCAGTAATATCTCGGCCTAGAGGCTCGAGTCTATATTTTTAGTAAATACTTAGATGATTCTTATGAGCACCCAGCTTTGGTTGGTGCTGGTCTAGAACAGGTACCTCAGGTTGTAGATGGGACAACTGAGGCCCAGAGAGGGGAAGAGACCGGCCCAAAATCACACAGTGAGATGGGGTCACAGCTGGGATTAGAACCCATGGCTCTGGGCCAGTGCCTTCTCCACTGCATAGCCCAGGAGTGCTGTCCTGCCAAGTCCAAAGGGATTAGAGGACTTAAAGAAATACAAAATACGACCTCAGTCCTCGGGGGCTCACATTCCAGACGTAAGATGAGCTAACATCTCTGAGACAATAAGACACAAAGGCCTGCTGGCCTGCATGGGCACCCCAGCTAGTGTCCAGTGAATAGAGCAGGAAAAAGGGAAGATCGAACATGAATCTTTCTCCACTGAAAACCTCACACCCATTATTTCCTTTAATTCTCCCAACAATCCTACGAGGTTAGTTACTGTTAATATCTCTGTTCAACTGATAAGGAACCTGAGGCACAGAGAGGTCAAGTGACTAAGGGAAGGTCACCAGCTAGCAGGTGGCAGAGCCAGGAGTCAAACTAAGGTGTGTCTGACTCCAGAGCTGGCTGGGGAGGTGGACCCCATTGCTTCATTAGAGATTGCACCTGCTAACCAATCCTTTAAATAGGACATCTGGTGGCTCGGATCCAGCCCCAAATGATCCATTCGTGCTAGTTCAATTGGCATTTTCTCTCTGGGGGACTGAGGTGCTCAGGATTCGGAGGGTGTCTATCTGAGTCCTGGGGGGGCTGGGACTTCCCAGATCACAGATACCCCTCTGTCTCCTTGTTTCTCTCTTCTTCCCTTTAATGCTGGGAGCGGGGACCTGTCCTGGTGCTACAAACTTGTCCCAGAGTCTGGGATTTCCAAGAAAAAAGCACTCCCTACCCCAACTCAGGCAGAGACTGTGTTCCCTGAATCGCCCCTGATCTGTAGTCCATTTCCCTGTGCTGAGGGGAGCTCTACCCAGGGATTCTTCTCTTGCTGGACTGGGTTGTGTATGATTCTCCTTTTCACATTGGAGATGGGGCCTGTCTGTGCCTCTCCACCTGTCCCCTCATTTCTCTCCCTAATTCTCATTCTTCTCTCCTTTCTTTATTGAGCTAACATGCCCCTTTAGAGCGTCTTGGCAAATTTCACCTTGAGCCTTGGTTTATATGATCTACATTTAAGATAAGGATGTAGAAACATCCTTCAAAAGTCAATTGTTTAATGACCTTTACACCCACAATGTCAAAAGCGTATTATGACATTTGAGAGGGAAAAGAACAGAAATGAAATACACAAAAAGCAACAAATAACAGGATCTGTTGGCTGTCCCTCTATCATGTCATCCAACATGTTCATACTTTTTGTCTTTAGCTTGGGAAAGAACAGTTGTGACAGGCAATACCTTGGGACTCTATAGACCCCAGGCTTGGCTATGTGTCCTAATGAGATTATTCCACCCCCAGAAAAAACCAGAAAGTTGACTTAGGTCTCGAAGCCTTGACTTGAAAATCTCCTCTTTATGACAGCCTGGAGTATCAACCGAATTTGCTGCCAGCCTTCAGGGATGGGAGTGTGAGAGTGTCAAATGTCCCTCACAAGACACTCTATCCCTTGGACAGGGACACAGGGTCCCTTCCTGAGTCATGTGGCTTGGGATCTGCCCAAGCAGATATATAGACTGTGGTCCCACCAGCAGATGACCAATCACAGGGAACCTTGAGCATCTCCAAGTCTGGAAGGCAGGACAGCAACGTTCTGGTCCCAGCTCTGCCACAAGCTTTGCCTCTGACCCCGCCTGGATAAGCCTTTTCCTCTGTTGGGGCCTCAGTTTCCCTAGCTATAACCTGGGCTCCGTCAGTTTTCTGACCTGTTTCACAAGATTCTCGTAAAGCTTCAATGAGACCCTGTCCCATGTAAGGGCTTGAGGCCCCTCTTTCAGGGTCATGAGCAATGACGTCCTAGCTGCCACCCCTAGCATTGCTCATCAGAGCTGTTTTCACCTCTCCTACCTTTCCTTTTCTTTCCCCTGCCTCCAGGACTGCATTCTCCCTTTCTAGTAAGTAGCCTCAATCTCACTAGTGGTTACAGCAGTTCTGCACCTCACCTCAGAGCGTAGACTTTGAAACCAGGCAGGCGTGACTGGAACCCTGCCTCTGTCACATGTAGTCCCTGGGGCTTTGGGCCATTTAACCTCCCTGAGCTTATTGTTGAAGCTGAGTCAAGGGGACAACCATACGGCACAGCATTAAATGGGACAGAGCCTGGAGAACACAAACTCAAGCCCTGGCACATAGTAGCTACACATTAATTTGAGGGCCTCCCTTTTCCCCAGCTCTCATTGCCAAGAATGCTCAGGGTGTAGCTATGTCTGCATGGCACTCACTCAACCAGTGAGGTTGCCGCGACGTTGGAAGTTCCATTGCTATATTTTTCGTCTCTCGTGTTCTGCCTGGACTCCATCTTCAAGCCTCTGTCCAGCCCACTGAGGACACTGCCAGCCCCTCCACCAGCAAAGAGTAAAGCTCACCTTCCTGAAATAGTCTGCAAGATCGTCGGGGTCCCAGGCCAGGACCTCAGACCGGAAGGGCACATTCCTCAATGCCATGGCTGCTCTCCCAGGAGGAAGCTCACAAGCTGAGCATGGGTGCTGCACCCATGGACAGAGAACTCCAAATCAAGGGTGTGGAGGCGTCCTTGGCTCTTCCAACTCCCAGTTACCCTTTGGAACAGCTTTATTGGAGCAAACGTCTTTTCTGCTGTAACCAGATCCAAGAAAGCAACGTCTTCCTCCGCGAACAAATATGGTCTCTTCTCAGAAAACGACTCAGCAAGTTTCCTTTACCACTTCCTCTGCTGGGCTCTAAATAAGTAAACAAGGAAGCTGGCTCTGGGGACTGGGGAGGCAGAGAGAGCGACAGGGTTGGTAACACCCTGCTGATCCCGGCCACCCCAGCCCAGGGGGAGGGGTGACGAGAGGGGACATAGACGCCAATGTGAGTCCAAGTACACTTCCATTAGCACTCCTGACACCCATATGTCTACAACACATTCCTGCTTGGCTGAGCCTTTGCAGATGAACATCTATTTTGACAGTTGACCTAAAATATAGACAATCTCCCACATCAGTGAATTGTAGGGGGAAGGCTCGTGGCCTTTTCATGCTTTCCAACCACCCCTCGGTCTCTTTCAAAAGGAGAGGTACTAGAAGAGGATTCTCTGTGAGTGAACCGGGTGGGCACCCAGGGCTGAGAGAGGGGCTGCGCTGGGCAGATTCGGGCTTAATTTCTGATATGATATCTCTGTGCTGTGTGCCACCTTAGTTAGGCAAGGACTTAAGAGCTAGGACTCTCGCTGAGTCAAGGGGACTTTCCATATCTGTTAAATAGGGAAACAGAAGGATTACTCCATACACACATAAAGCGTAGGTGCATTTAACTAGACACACTTAAAGAAAAAGAATTAAAAGGAAGAAATAATAATTGCTATTGATGCTGCCATATAGTCTGTTCACTGTTGTTTCCATCGTATATTCTATCCAGAGCACATTTCCTGGGGTGGCCCTGAGACAGGAAATGGGTGTCTGCGATTTCCTCCATCGGCCTCAGACTCTGCATTTCTCATAGTCTGAGCGCCTTGCTGGCAAAGGGTGATACAGTGTCTAAAAGCAGATGTGTTTACGCACCATTGCCGCCTCTGAAGACATGTTCACTGCTTCATCTAGTGCTCCATGCACACACACACAGACGGCCATGGCTCCATCGCTGGAGGAAAGAACCCAGCTCTGTTGCACATTCTGAGTGATGCTACGTTGTCCCTGAGGTGGTGCCTTCCCCAGCTTTTCCGAGAGTAGCTTTGGCCATGTCCCATGTCCATCATAGTGTGAACCATCTAAGGAGCCCCACCATCACTGTAATGCACCCACCTCACCAGGTCATTGTCAGTGAGGTTGGCGTTTCATCCCAGGCCAGGCACCTTTATGGAGGTGGTCCATAAACTTAGCCGTGTCATCCTCCCTCCCAGGGTGCTCACGTCAGTTGAGGCAGGCCAGGCTGAGCACTCCTCGCAGGGCCTGGACCTCCCTGCGTTCTCTCATAACTGGCTGTGCTCGATCCAGTATGGCCCTGCTCTTCAAAAGCCCACCACGGGCGGGAGAGGTCACTTCACTTTTCCAGTCACCAGAAGAGCAGCAAACGATGAAACACCATTTGAACAAAGAGGGAGACAGAAAAATCACTTCTAGGTAGAACTATCAAAGAAGATGTCATGGAATTAGCTGGAATTTAAGCAAGGGGCAGTTGGAGGGCATCTGGGTGCGTGCACATGTGTGTATGTGTGTGCTCACAAGAGTATGTGCGTGTGTGTGTGTGCATGTGTATGTGTGTTTGTGCACGTGTGTGTGTTTGTGCATGTGCACGTGCGAGCATGTGTGTATGTGTGCATACGTGTGAGCGTGTACATGTGCGTGTTGGGGTGTACTTCATGAGCAAACAGAACACACCACGCCCGTGGAAAGGAACATTCAAGATCATCCTAAAAAGTAGAGACAAAATTTGTAATGATATTCACTCCCACTCAGGAGAATAAAAACCTACAGAAAGGCAGGCGTTAGAATTAAGGTATAGCTAAATATGAGGCTTTGGGGGAAGAATGTTATCCAGTAAACATGGCCAAGATGGAAAATCCATGGAGCCCATTTAGAAGAGAGATACAGAAGTTAAGAAACCTGGTGACAGTGATGATGATGATAAGAATCATCGTAGATGCAACACATGGAGTCCTGCGTATGTGCCAGGAAGGGGCTGAGAACTTTGCATTAATTATCTTCCTTAACTGTTGGCACCATTATGACTCCCACTTAACAGAAGGGAAAACTGAGGCTCAGACAGGTGAAGCTACTTGCCCCCTTGCACCCGGCATGTGGGTTGTGCAGCTGGGTCTCGTCTGGATTCTGAGTTCAGAGCCCCTGTCCTTTACCTCTCTGTCACCTCAGGCTCTGAGAGGTTACGTAAATCGCCCAAGCTGGAGTAGGCATTCAAGCCCAGCTGTGTCTCCAGAGCCTGCGTAGTCTCCCCTCTATCCACCTGCCTTCCGCGAAGAGCAAGCGAGGTTGTGAATCTGGACAAGAAGAGGATGCAGCCCTTTCCAGGAGGCCGACCTTTGGTGCCCCTGCCCTGCAGGACCACAGGCCCGTTGCTCAGAAAGGGTAGCTGTGCCGACGAGAGCAGGTGATGCAAGCGGAAGCTGGTGGCCTCAAGCCTGGAGTCTTCTTTTCCTCTTCCTCAGGCCTCGGCGATTTCCCAATGCTAGCAAGTTTCACATCGTCTGTCTCTGGCTGGAGGGTTCCAGAAGCTCCCGTTGCAGGGCCAGTTAGCCCTGGGGAAGAGAGGGCCGGGGTGCGAGGAGGACTGGGTAATCCTGTGCAGGCCAGCTTAGTGGACCAGCCTCAGGCTCCATACCTGTAACATGGGCAGTGACGACAGCAGCTTCTAGGTGCAGCCCATGGCAGATGGGATGCGGCAGCAATGAAGGTCAGGCCAACATCACACCGATCCTACCGAGAGCATCGGTCTTGGCCTTGAGCAGGAAGCAGAGTGGGGAGCGGGTAAGGCACAGAGATGTGAAGCCATGGCCTGTGTGGGACCCTCTCCCATCTCTCCTTCTCAGCCAAGTGAGGAATCCCAGAACTCATGAAGGAGCAAACTGAAAGGTTAGCAGAGGCCTCCTTAGGTTTTGTAATCTTCATCTTAAGGTTAGGAAGGGATCAAATAGCCTCTGAGCACAGTAAGAACAGCATCATGTGATGGGGTTCATGGGATAGGAATCCGAAACGTGTATCCAACAGAGACTGTGGACAAAGAAAAGCAATACTTGCAGGGAGCAATATGTCGGATTTTTCAATCTTAGGGACAAAAAGTGGACGTCGGAGCATCACACTGTAGCCAAGAGGGAGATCACCCCAACATCTGCCCTGCCCCACCCCACCCCGTCCAGACTTGCAGCTCCCTCCCTTTCCAGCTAGCCCACAGCAGAATAGGTGGGGAGATAGCTGCCTTTTCACAGCTAATTTTAGGGGTGAGAAACATAAGCAGTTCATTAAAAGGGACTTAGGAGTCAGCCTCTGTGTGGGGGCAGGGGAAGGAATTGGTGCTTAGGGACCAGGAGAGAATAGAAAGCAGGGATTTTGGAGGGGAGAATGTGCTGGCCTTCTTAGGAGAGGTACCTCAGGAGTTAGAAGGTGGGTGGGATGATGTGCTGGTTTGGATTTAATTTAGAAAAAGGGTGTTGGCTGGGGGAAGGAGATAAAGTGGTAGCAAGTGGCCCAAAAAGGGTGTTGACGTGGGGGTACTTCAGGCCATGGAGAGAACGCCCTCATGCGGGTTCATCCCAGCCTCACCTCCACCAACTTTTTATGGCTCGATGTATTGCCCGAAGCTGAGGTGAATTGCTGCTGGCAATTTTCTTTAGGGCCTGTGTGGGTTTGCCTGCAGAAGGAACCAGAACTGTAGGTGTCACCTTCACAGGGAGGGAACAGTTTCCCCCTCAGTTCTCTAAGGCTGGCCGTGGAAGCACCATGTGTGTGGATTCCTTCTGGATGGCAAAGGGCTCAACCCACACAGCGAGGAGAGCCAGGAAGGGGTCCTAACTGCTCCCCTGGACTTCACACACCTGGCAGCCATATACTGAGGCACAGAATCTAGTGACCCTGACTCAGAAAGGCTGTGCCAGGGGGACAGGCCTGCCAAACAACATCCCCACATGTGCAGGGGCCAGCCTCACCAGCACTCGCAGAGGCTGTGGGGCGGGCAGGGGAAAAGGGGCACGCGCAAGCCACACTGCACTCTGTCTTGACAGCCGCCAAGACCCTCCTCGCACCCCAGACTGGACACAGTCCTCGCCACCCCCATCTTGGGATATGTATGAGGAAAGCATGAACCAGCCAGTGCAAGGCAATGAGGAGCAATATTTTCCACTTCCTCAGAGCTGACAATTTCATTCTTTTCAAAAAAAATTTTTTTTCACCCTCTCTCTTCGTCTCTTTTTCTCTGCTGCTTTAGCTGAGGTACCTCAGAGGTTCAAAGATGGGTGGGAGGAAGTGCTTATTTGGACTTCCTGTCAAGCCTCCCTTCCTTGTCTGCCCTATTTTTGATTTGGGCAGCCTATCCCAGATAGCTGTGCTCGAAGGGAAATTCTCTAAGAGCCTGCAAGGGTGTGGGCCGGGGTGGGGAGAGGGGAAAGCAGGCTTCTCAGCTTGATAGAAGAGAAAAAACCTTACCCCTTCCTCCTCCTCCTCCTCCAGCAAGATGGAGGAGGGCAAGTTGGGGGGAGGGGCAGGCTGGGTGCAATGAAGGCAAAACCAATTTTACCCACAGCAGCGAAGACGCCTGTGACCTCCTCCAGCCGCATCTCCAAGGAAGAGCTGTGGGCCCAGGAGGTGTGTCCGCGCCCCTAAGATGAAGCAGAGATTTGATCAACATGCCCAGCAGGGATGGAGCCCTTTATAGCTCTCAGCACATTTAATCCTCAGCAAAGCCTTGCGAGTAGACAGAAGTGCTCCCACTTTACAGATGCTGGCCAAGAGGCCCCAATTCACTGGCCCAAGTTCCCATAGCTAGAAGACGGGGGGCAGGAATGCCAACCTAGGGCCAGGTGGCTTTCTATCTGTTCTACTTTTGTGACTTGTCCCTTCAGTCTTGTCATGTCCCTTAGCTGGGCTCTCCCATCTCACCTGTGGCCTTGGTGCTGGTGGCCTCCTCCACGTGCTGGTGCAGCTGCTGATGTCAGCTGCATCTATTACCTGCCTTGACCGTGTCGGTGCCCCACCCACCAGTTTGTATGTGGCCTTGCAGACTTTTGA